AAAATATCATCTCATATTATAAAAATATATTTAGATATATTATTTTCGTTTTGAGATTTTTTTCATATGTAGGTTTGCCATGGGTCCACACTTAACATGAATTACATTTACGCACATGCCTTTCAAAAAGGCTTTTACCATGTGGTATGGTCACATCATCCCATTGAGGGATGGCCCTTACAACGGTTTAGTATTGTGAACCAAGGTGCAAACCTGATCTGGTTCGATTTTTCGATTTGAAATTCGTACCCGCACAGAAATGGTCGGTTATAGAAAGGGATTTCCCCTCTAACCAAATCGATATTCAAGTTGAAGATTAGATTTGGTATTATCTTAAACTCTCTTATTAATTGAATTATTAATTTAACTACTTAGTAATTATGATTTTTATATATTTAGATTTAAATTAAAATTAAAAACATGTATAATAAGAGTTCTTTCTTATTACTTATTTAAAAAATAACACGTAAAAATAAAATTCTATTTTGTTAAAGTATTGACATATTAGTATCGTTTTCATTTCATTGATCCAACAAAATTAATGTACCCAAATTTATTTTATTTTTCACTGAATGTGGTTTTCTCATAATATTATTATAAATACAAATAATATAAGTTTATAAAATAATAATTTATTAATTAAAAACGATAATTAAATATATAAAATTATGAATTTATATAAAATAATATTAATTATAATAACGTGATATTAACAAAACATCAAGAAAACAATTTAGTCATTGTGCTTTCTTTAATAATTTTAAAAAATTACAATTAAGTGATAAAAATGAAGAGCTTACGCTCTAGTCTTCTATAAAACTAAGCCAATAAAAACTAAACCGACTGGTTCAAATTTCTCAAAGCTCACAAGTTAACCGACCCGGTTACACAGTGTTATGTCATGGGCCCAACAGTCGAGATCCTATTTCCCTACAAGATCTCAGTAAATCCTGTAGAACGATTGGACGGTTAGGATAATCCAATCAAAATCAGGGCCCAAATTTTAATTTAATTTAAGGGGACCTAAAAGGTGGGGCCAATTGCCCTTTACCTCTACCAATGTTTTTAAACCCGAACCGGAGGTCAAACCGTTTTGACCTCCGGTTCACGGTTTGATAACCGGTTAAACCGATAAAACCACCGATTCATTAATATAGTATAAATATATTATTTTGTAAAGCATTTCACAAAATATTCATTGAGTGCGATGGTAGGTGGTTGTTTTCTCATACCAAATATCACAGGTTCGAGTCCTTTATGAACAAATTTTAAATAATTGTGGTTTTAAAAATAGACTAAATAAAATTTCAAGCATCCATTAACAAACGGAGTGCACTGTTCTGGTGGCAAAGGGTTGTAATAAACTAAAAAGATTTCAAGGTTGCAAGTTCAAGCTTCATGGGGGACAATTTTCTTAAGCTTTTGTTCTCAAGCATTGAACCGTCCTGGTGAATGGTTTTTTGGTTTGAGCGGTTTCAACGGTTTTTATTGGTTTTCAAACGGTTTGATCTTTAAATGGTTTAAAAAATAGAACCGAACCATTTATACTACCGGTATCGGTTCGACCAGCCGGTCCGGTCCGGTTTTCAAAACCTTGGTCCTCTACCCATTTTGCATCCTACTGTCCACGAGTAGACCTGTGCTTCGAATCTAATCACCACAATTTATTAAAGGTTTTTTTTAATGTAATTTTATAGTATACAAGTTAAAGACATTTTTTTTATATTAATAATTATTAAAAAAATTTATGTCTATTTAATTAATTATAAATTTTTTAATTTATGTTTTAAGAGTATTT